AAAAAAAAAAAAAAAAATATATACCACAACACAGAACATTATAGTACAATACAGACCATTTGTTCTTTTTCCTTTTAAATGTACGTGGCTATATTTTAAAAGCAAAATACATGAAACTTATGTGTAGGTCATCAGAACTCCGTGCTTTTACACGTTGGTCCCATTTTTCAGCCATTTTGACCTCAACGTTTTTAAGTTAAATGAGTGCTTTATTTAATATAAATGAGGCTGAAGGGAAAAATATGATGGCCCCTTTAAACTTTATTGTCTTTAATTTGTGAGTAAAAAAAAAAAAGGGAGGAAAATTGTAAAATTGTATACGTGCATGCACTTATTTGTATATGTACATATTTAAGCACATGTTTAAGCAAATATTTAAGTGTATGTTTCATGCATTTATTTGTTTTTGTTTTTTCCTTTTCCGTTCCCTTTTTTGTGGGTCTATAAAAACATGTTGCTTTTGTTTGTGCCAACAACAATTTTTGCGTCACCCCCACTGCATGGAAAAATCTGCATGTACACGACTTTTGTTGAAGAGGTGCGCATCGATCCATTCGATGGTTGCCCCGTTAATTCCTCATTCTGCACCTTATTCACTTAACACTTTGACGCTTGACAATATAAGCAACCAAAGCTGCACAGATAATTGGAGGATGCCATTTTTTGTGCCCACAGGCCTGTTTCACTGTGTCCCATATTATGCACACGCTAATTTTTAACCCCTTACACATGTCATGCGCGTGACTGCATGTGTGAGTAGATGTGTATACGTCTGTATGCCCACACATGTATACAATTTTACACGAACATATGAACCCATACACACATATAAAGTAGTGTATTACACCACATGTTGCCGTGTGGCTGAATGGCAAACACCAAGCACAGACGTTAAGTCATAGCATGTTGTTTCCTACTCTATGTCATTTTCACAAGCACAACTACAGCCACAATAGTGTACACAGTGTGTCATTTTACCATACTGACACAGTGAGTATAGGCCGTTTTTTGTGTTCACAGAAGCATCAAAATTGTGATTTCCACGCTTCATATTTTTGTGACATCGTTTTTATTGTACTCACCAATGAATATGCCTCTAACGCATGCATATTATATACATTATATATATATGGACCTCTTTTGTTGTTATTGCTTTTTTCAATTACCCTTTTTTTGGTGTATAATTTATTACTCATTTTTACACGTTGCTTTTTTCCATGTTAGAATAGATCGCGTGAAACGGCTTTACAATCCTTTTGAATTTTCGTGAGCATTCTTTTTAAATCTCTTTTTTAAAGGTCCTTATAACGCTGATGCTATTTTGCCGCTCCCATTTATGGTCACCCCAGAGTTCTCTCAAGGGGGTGCGCTGATTTCACATTAAACTTATTCGTTTGACCATTTCATGAACGAACACTCACCACTGCGACAGAGCATTTTGAGAGCCAAGAGGAGGAGAACAAGAACCCCTGCTTCTTCACTTCTCGTTTAATTAGTTCATGTCAATGTGCCACCTCTGTTAGTACACGAACTTGGTAAAATTGGGCCGTTAAATAAAATATATTTTTGCATATACGCATCCGCGACGGCCTGTTTCGATGAACCACAAACATTTTCATTCTTATGTTCAATCTAATTATAACTTTAATTATCATTCTAATTATAATTTTAATTATTACTTTAATTATCACTTTAATTATTACTTTAATTATCACTTTAATTATTACTTTAATTATCACTTTAATTTTACATCGCCCCTTGATGACCTGAACACCTTTTCTGTCTTACTAAACTATTCATGCACCGAAAAGTAAATAAAACGGCTTGCCTGATTGCGAGTGCGTTTGAGATTACGCAACGATTCGCTCTTAAAGGAGTGTCTCACTACACCGCAGTGTATTTTATTTTATTATTTATTTTATTTTTTTTTTTTTTGAATGAAAAGTGAGCGTATGGTTCCGACAACTTATCATTGCATGTTCTTTACCCCTCATCTGTAAACCTATGTGATTTATACAAGTCCATAAGTACATGCATGTGCCTATGTGCCGTATACGTGTGTATGTACACAAGTGTGCGCAAGACATTTATGTTTGTCGCAGGTTTTCCTGCCTGTGTGATTCTCTTACATGTATGATTTGCTAATGGCAGGTTGTAAGTGCTACACGCGTTTGTGCGCTGAGCGAGCGTAGCTGTGGCGTGCGGATTCTGTTACCCTTAAATCACGGCTGAGTGAGTTAAGGCAGAACTCGCATGGCTACACTGTAATGGCGACAATAGCTTAGTTTTGCACTGTTACGTATACCTGTACTTGTACGCATCTAATCGTAATTATTTCATTTTTTTTTTTTTTTTTTT